TTCAATCCTGCCTGCTACCTTTAAATTGATCAGCTAATAAAATTCAGTAGGGTGACATTTTACAGTTACTGCTTCCATAGCAAAGGCTATAATGAATCAAGGTTTCTAAGCAGGCTTTCACCTCATCCATATGCACCAGGATCAAACCAAATCACCCTGAAGGGGGAGAATATCACTTATAAAGACAGCAACTTCATTAAAGCATTTCCTTTGTATGTGTATTAAGTAAATAAGACAGTGCAATTACGCGAAGGAACATGCATAAATTCACATAGCTAGGGAAGGCATTTCTCCTCCACATATCATACCCCGAGAAAGATTTAAAACCACATTAAATTATACAGTCCCGATACAGTTGATCAACCCCAAATAAACTAGTGAAGCAAACAGCTCTCTTCAACAAGGTACATTTCCCAGAAGCAAACTATTAAAAAAAAAAAAAATACCCCAGAAGCAAACTATTAAAAAAAATAATAAAAAGTTTAGCTGAAGGATAATTCATATTGGTCAATAAATTCTAATGGAAGGCTTAATTAAATCTAAATGTATGCCTCACACACACCCACTGCAATTCAACAGCATGACCCTGTTCCTCATCAAGCTTCAGAATCCAGTCAAAGTCTCCCTATGAAATCATGCGTGGGGTTCTTGTTTGTTTGTAACATATTTTTATTGCTTTCAGAGAGGAAGTTGGGGGGAGAGATAGAAATATCAACGATGAGAATCATTGATCGACCACCTCCTGCATGCCCCCTACTGGGTTTCAAGCCCACAACCCAGGCTTGAAATGTGCCCTTGACTGGAATCGAACCCCAGACCTTTCAATCCATAAGCCAAAGCTCTATAATAAGGTGTGGGGTTTTTTTTTTATTTAGTCTCAACTGTCACAACTGAAAAAGACATTCGGTCAAAGCCACAAGAACTGGACTCTACAAAGTTTATTCTGCTTTTCAAATATCTGTTCTGCCCACACCTATGAATATATTTACATTGAAGAAAATTTTTAGTAAGTACTCTCTGTAGATACTTTTCTTAATTCTAAGCCAATAAAAAAAATAGTTAAAATATAACCAAATGTAGATCAGAAATAGTCCCACACAGACACATAAATCTATATGCAAACATACACATACTGTCATGCTCTCAAGTGCAGAGAATATGTCAGCCATCACTTCTGGGAGACAGTAATTAGGACTCAGGGAAAGAAAAAGCACCCGACTTTCTTTTCTTCTATTCAATTCTTGTGTGCGTGCAGTATGAAAATGTAAAAGCATCCAGCAAATAAGAATTTCATCAAAATCTCACTGAACTTGTACCAACCAAACTTGTGTCCATTTTTATTAATGTAAGCCATGTGAAAATCTGTTATGATGCCATGAGAAGTATAAAAGTTAAAATACAAGGAAATGAAATACATTTCAACCAGTACATACTTAACAGCTGAGGTTGGTCAAATTGACTTTTTAAAAATACATTGGATTCTATTTATAAAACAATTCCAATAGCACATTCAGAAGCTCACACTATCATCACTTTTCTACCCCCTCACACCTCACATAGTCATTCAGGTGTCTATTCATCCAAATCAGAGTCAGAGACCATCTGAATATCTGATTCAACTAATGGCTAGGTTTCCCCTTACTCATACCCATCCCCACGTAATTCCTAAGCAAACCTGGAATGCCTGTACATTCCATTTCTAAAGCCCTTTAACTGCTAGAAAATAGGTCTTTAAATCAATATGTTCAACCAGAATGCCCAGCAATTGCAGTAGGCCTAGAAGATGCAAACAAGAATGAGACATGGCTTTCAGCATAAAGATCCAATGTCTGGCACATAGTAGGTGTGCAATTAATTCCTGTAGAATGGAATCACTGTGTGAGCAAGTTCACAATCAGAGCAGTGCAATCCAAGAGAAATATAATGCAAGCTACAAATGGAAGGCCCGTTCATAATGTTAAGTTTTCTATAGGCACATTTAAAAAGGTAAAAGAAACATTTAAAAAATGACATTAATTTTAATGTTTTTAATTTAATCCAACTTAAAGAAAATATTTTCATTTCCACATACAATGAGTATTATAAAACATTATTAATGAAATATTTTACCTTTTTTTGTACCAAGTCTTTGAAATCGAATGTGCATTTTACATCTACAAGACATCTCAATTCAGACAAGCACATTTTAAGAGCACAGTAGCCCTGCTATGAAGAACATCATGGCATAAAGTTCCACTGGGCAATGTGCCTCCTAACAGAGAGAGGTGGTCAGAGTATGTGGGGGCAAGAAGGAATGATGAGGGCAGGAGGCAAGGGCAGTAGAGACAGAGAGATGATGGAAGTCCTGCTTTGCCACGCTGAAGAGTTCCACCTTTATCCTATGGACAACAGGGGGTAAGGGTGATGTGATAAAGCTTTCCTTCAGAAGGGTGCCTTCCTGGAGACAGAGTAAGGCATGAATTAGAAAAGAGAAAACCTGGCAGCGGAGAAGATGGGTTGCATTGAACATCATCCTTAAGTTAAAAATCAATGGTAATCTATGGTTTAAAAACAGTTTCATAGGCCAAGATCAATCTACTGTACAGGGAAGATAAATTATGAAAACAAGGAAAATAAATATATATTTCACAACACTAAATTTATTATGCAATAAATGGTTCTTTATTCTGAAATTATATTGCTTTGTTGGGGGAGAGGGGACATTAAATGTGCACCGTACTTTGAAAATGTCGTGATTGGACAAAATAAATAAAAAAAAAATCTGCAAGGTCATTGATGGACAACAGCAATCACCTGAAGAAAAACATTCTTGCCAGGGAGTACCCTCCAAAAAATTAAAATGGCTATGAAAACATTTTGCCTAATTATTTTTCATATATTGGGATTCTCTGAGAAAGTACAATAATCCCCCTGCCCAACAGATGAAAAATGGAAAAACAAAAACAAAAAAAGCAGCATATATGTAACTGCTTACAAAGTTTAGATTATACTAAAATAACCCAGAAGTTAATTCACTGAAAAATTAACAGTGGTCATCTGAAGGAAGGGAGGATTATGGGTAATTCAAATTTCCTTCTCTAGAGCTCTTTTGCATTATATACTTTATATAATTAGCACTTTATACATACATACACAAAGAACATACTTTTATTATTTTAAAAACTAAACTTGTTTAAAAATAGAGGTAGAAAAGGGTTTGGCATTATATTAAAAATCAAATGCTACTAAAAATCAAACTAAAGTAACTCAACTTTTATTTAGGCCTCTGCTTACTAAACACAGCACCCCTTTTCATATACAGGAAGTCTCCTATCATCGCTATAATAGTAAATCTATCAGAGAGTCATTATATTAAAATTAAAAGAATTCTCACAATACCAGGAACTTGCAAATTTCCTTTCTCTTTTCTTTTTTTAAAGTCTCTAAAGTGCTTGCAAAAAATAGCTGCAATGAGGTTTACATAAAAATGATGAGATGGTTTTATGGTTTCATTTTTTTGTGTGTGTGTTTTGTTTGTTTGTCTATCTGTTAGATAAATACTGAAGCATTTACTGGCAATGTTAAAATGTTAAAATATTTAAGATCTCCTTTAAATACTCTAGCAACAACAAAAGAGTGAGAGGGGAAAATAGATAAAACAAGAACAGAAAATTGGAATTATTGAGTTGGGTGATGGGTACCCTTATTCTATTCTACTTTATGTACATTCAAAGCTTTTTCATAATACAGTTTATTGAAAATGCGCTATGAAAAATGAAAAGCAATATATACTTCTGCACATACACTCCTCATATCATCCAATGTAGCAAAAGTAAACTTATAGCCAAACCCTTTTTTTAATCCTCAGGGTGACTATTTCAAAGGGAGCATATGATTCTGTATCTTTTCTTCATGAGGCAAGAGTATGTGCACAGGTAAATCTACCAAGAAAAAGTAAATGTCTTACATTTGTATCTACAAATTTGATTCAGAAGATTTCAGACTTTCTGAACTTGGCCACCATCAGACCAACCGTCAGCCACCACAACACTACTTGGTTCATGACATTTAAAAAGTAAAATACAAAAGAATAAATAATATACAGACTGACTCAAGCATCAGCAAGATTCTATCTGGGCATCCCATTTGCCATCTTGACACAGAGGACAGGCTACATCTCTAAGAGGACACATCAGTCCATACACAGGTCAGCTGCAGGCAAAAAGCCTCAGCACTCAGCAGAAGTTAGGCAACCAATACCAACAGCAATTCTTTTAAAAGTTGCCAAGGATGATAGGAATCCTGAGCATCTGGAATCTCCACACTGATGACTTCCTAGTGTATCAGCTTGAACAAAACACCTCCCACGTGTGCTCACAAGGCACTCCCAGCTGGAGGGATTTCACCTGCATGATCACCAGTGAGCCTCGCATCTCCCAGGAGAGTTGGTATAGAATGGCTTTCCCCTATTTTACAGATGCAGAAACTTGGAGTCAAAGCTGCTCAAAGATTTGCTCTAAAGCAACAGAAGCTTCTGATTCCAAGGACAGTGCTCTTCTCACTACCCAACCCTCCCCAGGAGCATGCCTGTGATGGTAAGGAGGAGGCAAGCCCTTCATGAAGAGAAGTGGGGCAGAAAAGAGAGGAATCAGCTTTAGGCCCAACATTTCCCGGGTTTTGAAACACCCTCTATGATGTTTGCCCATGACTTTGTGCTGTCTATTCTTTGCCTTGACCATGGAGACGCTGACTGCTATTCTGTTTGCATGCATGTTTCTGGGGGCTAGCTTTCTCTGCTTTCTGAGCTCTGACAGAGGCCTCCCAACAACTCACTTGACCTAAGAAACACAGAAATCTGTTTTTAAACCAGGAGGGACTGTCATGGCTGTGGGGATGGGACATTATCTGCTGGTCCTCTCTGTCATTATCAAGATGATACAAAGAAAGAGAAGTTGGCAGAGAAAGAGTCACAGCCCTCAAGTCCCATGGGCCACTCAAGCTCGTGGGAGAGCAAAGCCTACCTCTCTGACTTCGTGGAGCTGGCCGGAATACTGACTCTTGGTTCTTCGGGCAGCTGCAGGCGACTTGTGATGCGTGACTGTGACAACACCGGGGGCCCCCACACCGAGGTGTCTCTGGCTACAGGGAGACGCAGAATTGGGTGTTCCATGGGGGAGCAAAGTGAGACTTCGGCTTCGGGAGCTTGGAGTAGTCTAGAATAAGCAACAGGTGTCAAAACTCAACAACCAACGTGCAGAACACAGCTAAGTGTTGGCTTCCATTTATTTTGAACCTCCTAATCGTTCCCCTTCATCTGTTTGGAGAAATGAAGGCACGGGGGTGGTAGAACAACACTACATGCCTTCACACACTTGCTCACACTCACTCACCTAAGGGACTATTAACCAGCCTTCTGACCTCATCCCCACTGTGTCTCCTGCCCCACACTATGTCCATGAAGAGCTACTCAGAGTCTCCGTTAACACCATGGACTCTCCCGGATCTGCGCCTCCGCACACACCAGACCCTCCTCCTAGAATGTCCTACCCTCCTGGCCAGCAAACTTCAGATGAACCTTTGAGACTCAGCTCGGGCCCTGACTGGTTTGGCTCAGTGGAAAGAGAGCCGAAACCGGTTTGGCTCAGTGGATTGAGTGTTAGCCTGCGGACTGAAAGGTCCCAGGTTCAATTCCAGTCAAGGGCATGTACCTTGGTTGTGGGCACATCCCCAGTAGGAGGTGTGCAGGAGGCAGCTGATCGATGTTTCTCTCTCATCAATGTTTTTAACTATCCCTTTCTTCCTCTTTGTAAAAAAAAATCAATTATATATATATATATATATATATATTTTTTTTTTTTTTTTAAAGACTCAGCTCAGTGTTCTCTGGTGCATGGAGTGTCTCCCTGTGTGTCTCAGTCTCCACATTGCTCTATTCCACTGCATTAAAATTACATTCATTGTCCAGTTACTTTAAGATACTCTGTCAAACTCATCTTTATATCTCCAAGACCTGGCACATGATTTATTGTTTATTAATTTCTTTAATACATGTTTGTTGCCTAAATGAGTGTACTGTTATCCACCAAGTAATCTCCATTTTTTAATGCTGTGCTTATGTTTTATCCTATGGTAATAAATAATCCAATCAACAACTTAATGTATGGTGAAGATGGCATCTCAACTTAGTGGAGATGAATTTTTTTAATACGTGGCACTGAGATAATTGAGCAGCCATCCAAAAAACAAAACTGGGTTTACCTCTTAGATCACAGGACCCCCCTCCTCCCCGTAAATGGATCAAAGAGATTTTTAAAAAGCACTAGAAGAAAATGTGTAGCCTTGGAGTAGTAAAGGTCTAACACCTCCAAATGCAAAAGCCAAAAAAGAAAAACTCAGTGAGTTGAGCTTTTTACCTAAGAATCTAAAAACTTCTGCATGGAAAACAAACAGATTTTAAAGACTTACTCCCACCATCAACAAAGCCGAATGATAAACTAGGAAAACTATTTTCAACTTATTTCCAAAAGGCTCATCATTCTCATTTGTAATTAGGAATATAATTCCTAGGAAGTGATAAGGACTGTAAACTAATTACATTAGGGCAAGATGCATGCAGACGGTTCACAAAAAAAAGATAAAAGACCCTTAAACCAAATGAAAACATGTTCAACTGTACTCATAAGTAAATGTATAAATGTAAAATTCAAGCCACATTTAGATACCATCTTTCACTCAGATTTGCAAAAATCCAAAAGTTTGAGTACACCACCTGTGGACAGGACGACAGACAAACAGGTTTATGGGAGCATAAAGTAGCAAAAACCTGTGATGATGACAATCTGGCAGTACCTGTAGCTGTTATAATTGTGCTACACTGTGATCCAGGGATGCTCTGATTGAAACTGTGTCCTCCAATACTCCTGCACCCAAGTGAAATGGCATATATCCCATGTACAACGGCAAAGTGTGAGAAACAACCCAAATGCCCATCAGCATGGACCAAGTTCAATAAAATATGGCATACCTTCTGAATAGAATACTACCAAGATGTAAGAGAATAATGAGCAACGTCTCTGAGTTGGCCTGGGGTGAAAAATATCTGAAACTATATAGTTAAATGAAAAAAGCAAGGTGCAAAACTATTCTATAGTATGCCGAGTTGCATCAAAATGTGGAGACGGAGTATTTTTATTGTAATTTGTTAAAATAAGATAAAAATAAGATAAAAATAATTTAGAAAGATACACACACAAAAAAAAAACTTAAAAAGTTGACACTTATTTGTGGAGAAATGAATGACAGTAGGATTCGAGGCAAAGGGAGATTTTTCACTGTATAGCTTATTTTTATATCCTTTTATTTGGAACCCTAAGAATGTAATACCTAACCGATTATTTTTAAACTCCACATAAAATTTACATTCTAAATGCCTCTGTGCCTCATTGCAAATTGGGAAAAGGCAGTTAGAGGATATGTTGAATTCATGCCAACATATCAGATATTTACTGAATCCCTACTATGTGCCAATGGGAGTACCTACAAGAAGAAATATGAGATGGATAGTAGTCACCACTCTAAAAACTGTTCAACGTTAATGGCCTATAATTTTACAAATTACCAAAAGGTTAGGAAGCAGGGTAGAAATCAGAATTTTACATTACCCCGCAATGCCACAGGAGCTTGTTTAGGTTCTCCAGGCCGGAACTTGGACATAATAGGAATATAAATAAAGTTGGGAAGCAGTGTATTGATTTTAAATAACTTTAGGTAATTGGAGAAAACTGTGGTCTCAGAATTACATATGCTGTGATTACCGTCAAATACAGCAATCATCTACTTACAGCCCCAATCCTTTCATTTGAAGTGTGGAAGGGGAAAGATGCTATCTCTTTAATCCTTTAGTGACAGTGGATTTGCCAAAGCATTAAGAGTTGACTAAAATACATTTTGTTTGGGAGGCTATTCCAACCCAAAAAAAGGCAGATTTGTCACTGGGCTTTAAAGCCAGACTGACAGGTTTCACTCCCCACAGCTGAACTGGGTTATAGCTGTGTGACCTCATGAGCGTTAGGTAAGCTTTCTTATTAATAATCAATTTCCTCATTTTTAAAATAGAAATGATAATATTGACCCTTAAAGAGGCATAGTGAATATTAAATTCTATCATGGAGCTGCATGGCTAACGTTTGTTTCTTTCCTTACATCAATTAATACTTGATCGATGAAATCCTTGCTGAGTTTTAAAACGTTAAAACGTCACTTAGCACAAAATCATAAGCAGTCACTGACCTGCTCTTTATTTTCTATCGGATCAGAAGTGCTGATGAAGCCCAAAACATAATTAAATACTTTCTGGAGAACCTATATGGTCAGCAATTAAATTATAAAAGGGAAAATACTTCCAGATTCTGAGTAGAATGAGAGAACCCGTCAGAAATTAAGAGATGAGAACAGCTCTGGCAACCTTTGCTTGAAACAATATCACCATAAATGGCCATAAATCAAGAAATCCACCCAGAAGCCAAATTATTTCACTGTGGACATCTAGCCCCGTGATCATTACTTAATGGCTGTCATTTGAATTCACAAGCAGTAAATTTGAGTAGAAAACCCTTTAATTTTCCATTAACTGTGGTATTCATGGTTTAATTCACATGCAGACCTCCTCTTAGAGTAAAATGAGCAAGAGTCTCAGGCTTGGTAAATCCCATAGGTCATCAGGCACCAGGACAAATAGAGAGCAAAGGCAGCAAACTGCCACCACTATAAACAAATGGGGTCTTTCCAAAACACAACTTATATAAAATGCCCAGGTTTTGTGCTTAAATGTCAAACACTTATCCTTGCTACTAATCCTATCTAATAAAGAGGTAATATACAAACTAGCCATCACTCCAATGCACAAGATGGCTGCCCCCATGTGGACACAAGATGGCTGGCAGGGGATGGCAGTTAGGGCTGACCCAGCTGGCAGAGGAGGGCAGTTGGGTGCAATCATGGCAGCAGGGGAGGGCAGTTAGGAGGAACCAGGCTGGCAGGGAAGGGCAGTTAAGAGCAATTGGGCCAGCAGAGGAGCAGTTAGGCATTAATCAGGCTGGCAGGGGAGTAGAGGGTGGTCAGGCTGGTAGGCAGAAGCAGTTAGGGCAATCAGGCAGGCAGGCAGGTGAGCAGTTGGGAGCCAGCAGTCCTGGATTGTGAAAGGAATATCCTACTGCCCACTTAGGCCCAATCCCACCAGGGACATCCTTCAAGGGGTCCCAGATTGGAGAAGGTGCAGGCTGGGCTGAGGGACACACACACACACACGAACACACACACACACACACACACACACACACACACACACACACATGCACGAATTTCGTGCACTGGGCCTCTAATCTAAAATAAAGTATTATCAGCATTTGAGGAACAACATGGCAGGTTTTTGCTCTAAATATTTACATCAATATTTCTAGGGTATGACTAGAAATGCCAAGTGTGCCATCTGTGGAAAATGCATAGTCAAGGGTAACCATTTCTATTCGGGAATAAGATTCTCCCATTCCCTAGGAGAGTCACCCCTTGGGTCTGCCTAATAAATGGGGTGGAGCCTAAGCAGAGAACGTGGTAGCAGGGAAGATCAAGTGCTAACGCTTAGGTCCCACCCAGGCATCAACAGGCAATCAGGTTTTATGGTATTTTTTAAATATATTTTTATTGATTTCAGAAAAGAAGGGAGAGGGGGAGAGAAATATAAACATCAATGATGAGAGAGAATTGAACCTGGAACCCTTCAGTCCACAGGCCAATGCTCTATCCGCTGAGCCAAACCAACTAGGGCAGAGAAGGACATTATTAGCAAATTGGCCAGGCTTAAAGGTTGTTTTTGCCTACAGTGCCTTAAGAAGACATAACCTTAACTATTTCCTTAACATTTTTTTAAGATAAATTAAAAGTAATCATTCTAATTACTAGCACAGTTTGCTTCAGATAAAAGGTACATTTAAAACATGAATTCACATTTTCAAAAACCAATCTGTTGCAGAACACAAAGTGCCTATAGATTATTCCAATGCTACATGGGTATTAAAGATAAAAAGAACTACTTTAAATAACTAATGGGCAATTCCCATTAGTATTTTAGAATAAAATACAAAACCCCAAATTGAAAAAAATAATTAGCTGGTCCTAAAAAATTTCTTAAAACGTGTATCAAAAGTTTATAATAGGC